GTGCACGTGAAATAAGCCGACGACACTGACGAAGTATAGAACACGGAGCGATCGACGGACGACGGTAGGCGGACAGTAGTGCGACGATAAATTACGTTATATCAGACGTACGAAATGCCTTGCGTATCGGCCTTACGATCGGCTCCTGAATTATCGCGTCGATCTGCAATACGGGATTTCCATATGCGCGGGTATCCATAAATTCTACGAGAGGGCCGATCTTTCGACTACCTCTAAATCTGTCAAGAATTCTTACACGTGCCGAGACGATTTCTTCCCCGGAATCGAAAAAATTGTAAAAATAGCACGTCGGTTAATCATCCGATAATCCACTTTTTTTACTATCTCAAAGTTCTCGCAGTATCCTGTATTAAAAACGCTAGTATTTTATATATCAAATGAATATTCTTTCTTGATGAAAGCGTATTGGAGACTCTAAATGCATTTCGAGAATATTTGTTACTTTATTAAATGAGATGTAAAATTATTATCTATGAACCAACGAGAAGTACATTCTCATATTATTACATTCTGTGCAGATGCGATCGCCGGATGGTTAATTGTCGGCAGGTAAGAGCGGCCAATTAATAACTCGCTACATAAGTCGAGTATAATTATGTTAACCCTGGACAGCGCACATCATCAATTATACGCAATTAGACGAGCCGTGGTAGTGGCACAGTGCGTACATACGACGACGTATGAACGTGTCTCCGCGATCGTGTCTGTAGACATTTACAGTAGGTACAGCCTGTATGGGAGGTCCGAGTATCTCCATCCGACGGTCCCCACCTGTAGTTAACCCCGATTCGCTGGAGGTGTGCGCCTATTGGTCGCCCCGCCATTTTTTCAGCTTTAATGATAATAGGATAATGATGATTACACCGTTCAACTACCTGTACTAGAGACAGCACCTGTCTCTCTGTTTCTCTCTCTCTCTCTCTCTCTCTCTCTCTCTCTCTCTCTCTCTCTCTCTTTCTCTCCTTCCCTCCTCCGTCTCTATCTCTTTCTGTCGTCCTGTTTATCTACCTATCTAACTACCTTTTAGCGATCGTCGTCGAGGAAAGCGGATAGATCGATCTCAGTGTCTCGTCAAGGCGACTCGGAGTCTCACGTTCAGTATCTCGAATTAACGTGAAAGATGCTTCGCGATGCAACAAGATTTGAAACTTGGATATTCACAATTATAAGACGTAATTAGCAGTCGCATATTTTAATGAGATAACCGGTAATGATTTACTCTTCCAAAATGAAGTATATGAATGACTTATGCACCATTATGTCATACACAATCTAATGTATATCGTAATGCAATGAAATGCATTTCATCGCAACGTAAATGCTTTTCACAGAAAAAACGGTTTTATTAAAGCATCAATAAATTTAGCTACATATCAATTTTAATATAATTTTGTTGGACCATCAAAACAATTATGTAAAACGTTTAAACGTTGGTGACAAATGGCTGCAAAAGTTTTAACATTCTAGCTATCAGTTTAAGTGTCCTATCTAATTATTTTGTAATCCAAACAAAATTATTTTCAGATCTGTATTTAGTTAAATTTTTAAATGCTTTAGCAAAACTGTTCGCTCGCATAGACAACTATATATCACGAGACAAGTATTATCGTCAATCGAGGCGCGAATGTACGCGTATATCACATCTATTGCTTAAATAAACGTCGGAAATTCAAAGATATTTCAGACGTTGGCAGTAATATAAGCCGGATTATATGAGCGATGCTGTCCCGCGGCTGGCGATGTCAAGTGTATGGCATTGCATCGGGAAAGATCTAACCAAGGCCGATTACTATTTAATATTAATGTAAAGATGAAATTAATCGATAAACGATATAAATTGTAGCTATCGCCATTATGAGGTAGGGAATTATCCATTGCGTTTTGCCAGAGCTCGCGCGTACAGATTGCATTGCGTTCGCATGGAACATCAACGGTTCGGTGGAGGTTCTACTAGAGATCAGGAGAAAACCATTAACCGCAGAAACTATTAGGCGCAGACTGCTGAGAGCAGCGCCAATAATATACACCTACGTTTTAGCCATATTGCTTGAGGTTTCACAGGATTATGTAAGACGCATGGAAATATTTGCAACCATCCAAGATAAAGTCCCTTCATTATATTTAATAAGTTAATCATATTTGACATCGAGAAACAACTTATAATTTGATGATTTTTATTCATTCAGTAAAAATAAAAATATGTAATTTTATGGCTCCAATAAATTTAATAGTATAAGTAAAATGCCTGTGTGTATGAAACTGAGTAATTTTGTACTTGACTTTTGCACTAAGAAGGATTCAAGTCCAGAATCAAAACGTTTGCAGTTAATTTTGTTGGTAAGTACAATTATTTGCGAATTATATCTTATTGCTTTAGGGCCCATAGCCCTAAAGCACAGAGAATGCATAAGCACAGCACAGCTTAGCATGAGACCACCTGAACCAATGAACAGCCAGTATCAAGTTGATATTAATTTACATAATATACTCATTGGTCTTACGCTGGCCATGTTATGCTTATACATTTTGTTCTAGCCTGTATAAATAAATTATTTACGCATTAATAACCGTAGAAGCTTACAGGCATTTTACTTATAATTAATCTATTTATTCAATACGTAATTACTTGATCGGGCCAATTTACATTTTGGATTCATGATTATCTATTTTTCATTTCTTATACGTACATATAAATGTATATATGTAATTCCTTCTTAATTAATATCATCAAAATCAATTATATTATTCCATCCAGACATTACATTTCCAATCTTTGGAAATCGATTTCAACTAGTGTAAATTGATTTCTAGCGGGAGAAAATACAAAACCAAGCAGCTACAGGCATTTTCCGTAGTCAATGCCCGTCACTGACATGCAGACGGGACCATAACGACGCTGTCAGAGACGGCTTTTATATGAAGACATATTGCGGCAGTTGAACCGCGTTTGCATTCTCGACTACGTGCTTTTCTTTCTATTCACCATATAGACATAGGTTAACTACAATTATTCCATTAAGCGTTAGATCATCATAACAATAGTCAAGAATAGAATCGATAAGCTGTGGCCAGTGCGACGATTTGTCGCAATTTGACCTCACAAGTAAATTTTTCGGAAATGAAAGGCAAAAAAATCGAAACTTTATTCCAAAACGCAATTGCAGCGATCAGCGGACATGTTCGACTTACAACAATAAGCTTTTTTTAAGGGGATTTAATAGATCTGTTTTTATAGCTGAACCGTACACTCTTTGTACTTACAATTAGTAAAGTAGGTATATATATGTTTGATTTGGCAAAAGCGAGAAGGAAAATTCTAGTGTAGTACAGTGAAGTGTAGTAAAAAACAAACCTAATGTCTTGGTGAAATCAGTAATTAATCTTTAACTTGAATGACACATATAAAATTCCAAACGACATAAAGTATCTTGGAAGAAGCTTTAATTCCAAAGTATATTTAATTAGAGAAAAATTTGCAAAAACAACCCTTAAAAATGACTTGCAAAAATTAGCAGGACATGAAAAAATAGAATAAAATGACTAAAAGAAGCCAAAATGAAACCAAATAAATATATATATATATATGTGTATATAAATAAATTAAATAAATAACACATAAAAATAAACTTAGTAAAACAAAAACAGCCACAAGACAAGGGAAAAACCGTACAACGATAATTGACCATTGTCACTTTATAATGGTATAAATTCTCCCTGCGATATCGGTTATTCATTCTCGAATGTCTCGTAATTTAGGCGAAAGATTTAGAACCGTCATTGTGAGATATCAGCAGGAGACGCGATCTTACCTCTATTCGAGGATTTGTTCTCCGAAACGTTCTCTCGGAACCGTCACAATGAGAGATTAGGCGTGTCGAAGAAATCCGACCGGTCGACTCGTATTCATCTATCTCGTTGGCAATGGCGACGCTTAACGAGGGCGTTAATCGAACGTAGTAAGCGGCACCTTTCTAAGCTGCAGTGCACGCTAAATCAATCGCAAATTATTGCAGCGGGTTTATGGTGCGTAACTGTCGCACATGTTTCACGAGGACTGATCCGCTTTTCATTTCTCAGCCTTCTCCGGGTTTCATCACCTCATACTTGCGCGCGAGCGAGCATTCAACTTTTACGAGTCTCTGCTCACTTGAGCGTAATATAATAAACATTACGTTTTATTACTTGAGCGAAATCCAGAGAAATAAACACTTAATAAATATGGTATATTATCCGACAAAATCGAGTGAAAAGTCACGCGCGCAGTTAAAAGACAACGTTAAAAAAGAACTTAGCAAAAACCACTGTACTTTTCATATTTTTTTCTGTGTGCGCACCAGTGTACAATTTGATTCGCTACTTACTCAAATCTTTAGTTACCATAAAATAGGGTAACTTTGACCCAAACTTTAATAATTCTCAAAATATCACGCATGTCAAGTAAGAATAATATAATGGAAACTATATGTTCTTTTTATATAAACAATGAATATAATAAAGGACATGTAAGAATTTAGATTAACAAATTTTATGTTGAGAAAAAAGGATAGAGTATATCATATAATAAATATTATTATAATCTATAATCGATTAAAATTATACTTTTTTATTTATAATTATAATTTTAATCGATTATAGATTATAATAATATTTATTATATGATATACTCTATCCTTTTTTCTCAACATAAAATTTGTTAATCTAAATTCTTACATGTCCTTTAAATATTTTACTATAAATATTAAAAAAAAAAGTCTTCAAGGGTCATGGCCTTCATATCAGTGTGAATCCGCCATTGCTTATGTCCTGATTTTGTACATACGTGCTGTATAAGCATTTTAAAAAATTTAGGTCAAAATAATTCCGACTAGATCAAAGTTTTACGATATTAAAAATATAAGAAAGTAAGAAAAATAAGGAGTTACAGCAAATACATACTGCGGATTTTCTTGTTTAATATCAGCTCTCTTTTATACTTTCAGGGGCGTACACCCTACAAGAGCACTTACACAACCACGAGATCGTAATACCACGGAAAGTGAATCACCGAGGAGATTTTATCTCGGAAAATGTTACGCATCATCATCACGAAGACGGACCAATCGTTCATTATCGAATGGCTGTGGCCGGTAACGAGTACCACCTCGAGCTGACGGCAGTCGACAACTTCATCGGCCGCGCGATGGTTGTGGAAAGACGGAAGCGGGATCTGCACGTCCGCAGTTCGGCGAAAAGTCATGGTAGCAAATGTCATTATCGAGGATTCATTAAGGGCCATCGGAATTCCCGCGTCGCTCTATCCGCCTGCGACGGTCTGGTGAGTTACACTTTCGATTTTCCGATAGGTTGCGTTTACACAAGTTGATATTCGCGTCACGTTTGCAGTAGTTACAATTTCAAAGGGATTGTTCCAATGCAATTGTTCCTTTTTGTGACACGGTTGTGATTCGTTAATTTATTATGATATTTATTAACTTTTTTACTATATTAACTTTATTATTATAATAAAAGAAGCTGTAATAATTACTTTATTTATAAAAGAAAAAAAGAAGGAAGCAAATGACAAAGTTAATCTTTAACTTATTTACTTTTTGATCTTTTAAACGTCTTGTTTGCAGACAGAAGTCGATTATGTCATAAATCTCGCGAAGATATTATTTGCACGCAGATACAAGACGTCGAATCGCATTAGAAGCTAAACGAAGTAAACAAAGTCTGGAGTGGCATAACGTGACGCGATTGAATTGTCAGTTGCAATTTGTAGACAGAAATCAAGCTCCTTGTTGCTCCCGGCGCGCACTAATATACTATTTTCTCGCAATTCCGAGTTGTGTGAAGAGTATAACGAGAGAGATAAAATCTGTACTGTCAACGACTGTCAATGCATCTAATCGTTCGATATATAAGGAATGAGGATCAAATCGGGGTTTCTGCCAGTTAAATTACAAACTATTGGACATGCAAGTTGCAATCAGAATCGTATATCTGCTCGATTATGCTCACGTCGGTGACTGGACGTGAAGTTTCAGTCAGCTCGATAAAATTTTTCTGTCTCTAAAAGAGAACGTCATGCATTCATAAGCGACAGTTGATATATCATGCGAACGATCAGCTCGCGTTATCTTATATTCGCTAATAACCGCGAATATATTCGCGACATATCGCCCTTAAGATCGTACGGCAATGAAACGTACTTTTCGCTCGTTAGGTCTTTTCACTACGATCTCCATGGTGATTCTAAATCAATCATATTATACGCGCTTGTCTCTCTTTCTCTCTTTCTTTCTTGTGCGACAGTAATTCTGAAACGAGCTGCAACAAGCTATACGTACATTGCCGCTTGAAGATAATATATGAAAAAGCAAAATGCATTTTGTTCGCCTCTTGACGACAAGATTTTCTTTATTGCATTAAAATCAGGTAGCCGTTAACGATGTCGATTAATTAATAAGTCTGGGTAATAATTCACGGCTAACAACTCGCACAATTTGAACGAAATCGGGTCGTATAGCTTGACTGTGGTATACGAGCCAATTTTTCAAGAGTGATTTATCGCGTATCTGAAATGCACTTCTTTTGTCAATGTCGCGGCGAAGTGAACCAGAACTATCGGAATGAGAATTCAACTGGACAAGAGCTCTCTCATGGTAAACGTGTTTTTAAAAAGTGTTTTCCGGTGATGCCATATACATTATTGGCGTGCGATTTCGAGGGAAATTGAAGAAATTACGATGCATCTATGTATATAATACGAAATGCGCTATTATGCAAATGAATATATCGCACGATAGAGATCAACCCGTAACTCCCTAATTTAGAAGATATTAAATATAGAACTATAATTCAAAATTCTCTTAAAGCTTGAATTAAACTTCTATTTTATCTCTGCAGTTCCTCTACTTTGATGATGCTTTTTAAGCGAATTGTATGTTTGTTGTATGAGCGCTTCTAAAATACTCGGATGGAATGGATGCGGCAAACTAAATATAGCAAACTAAATAAAGATTATGCCGTGGAAAGTTGAAAATTTTCCGGCATAAAGCTCGACACAAAACAACGCGCGATCTCTCGTTGGACAGCGAGCTGCCGCCGCCGCAGCCTCTTTATCATCATCCTCGGCTAAAATTTATGTGTATTAGTCTACACGCTATAACTGCAAACCGCCGCTCGAGCCGCAAGAAGAGAAAACACTCGCGGAGTTTCCTGCGTCCGAACGTGCGTAAAATCACGGTAACGGCATATAAAGGGCGAACGATAGAATGCGAAGACGGGGGGAGGAAGGGCGAGAAGCGTCTGCACAATGCGTGAAGAAACGAGGAATATATAAAAGCCTTCGAGTATGCATCAGCGCAATTTGCTCGTAGCTTCCAGATAATGATTTAATTTGCCACGGCATGGCAGATTTATGACGGCGCGCCTAGTCGTTGTCCACGTACGCGTATACACGCGCACATAGATGCGCAAGTGCATCGTACGTGCATAACGAGCCGCACATACATACACACATTTGCAAAGTAAGGCTATCCCGACATCGGCCCTGGGTGTCCCATCGACCGAACACCGCGGACCCATTGGCGGAACCGCTTTTATGGATGCTTGCTTCTCATGCAATACCGTATAATTGCTCGATTTTCTCCAGGAGCTTCGTGAAACTGCAACGAACAGCCGCAGTAATTGAACCCCATCGTGTGTATATTGTAGAGAAATTTCGCGAAATCGTGGCGGCTCGCAACAAAAAAAATCTCTCTCTCTCTCTCTCTCTCTCTCTCTCTCTCTCTCTCTCTCTCTCTCTCTCTCTCTCCCTCTCTCCCTTTTTTTCTCTCTCTCTCTCTCCTCCTCTTAAATATTTCTTAAATATATTATTTTGTCGATATAGTCAGTTCTTCTCATCTAAAATTGTCTCAAGTACAGTCTCTCGAGACACATAAATCAATCAAGAATCGTGTTGGCATCGTAAAACATTGCTTAAGATAGTCTTAAAATAAGAACCGACTATATAGGCGATATCCATAGTCGATTCTTATATTTAAGACTATCTAAGATGCCGTAAGCCAATCAGAAAACTGTATTAGCATTTTAAGAATGTTACTTAAGACTGTCTTGTAATGAGAACGGACTGCGAATACCAGCCTATGGATATCAGTTTTTGTTTTTTTTGTAAAGAATATTTCTGCATCCCGAGGTAACACGGTAAATCCGCTTTTCTACGCTGAGAGTGCTAGAAGTATGCGCACATTGGAGAAATTAATTTGGATTTTCTCCACTTAAAAGATAAAGAATCGCGCCAGTTGAGTTACTCTGCAGCCAAGGCACTACGTAACTGTAAAATATTAAATGTGATGAAAAAAATGCTGGAAATAAAAAAGTTTCTGCATAATAACGAACAAATCTCTGTTGTAATAAGACATAAATCTGTCATTGTCGTCAATTGGTGGAACGGTTGATTTCAACATGCACACGCTGCTTGATATTTTACGCGTGCAACTCTGTTTACCGTGGTTCTAATGTATCTACACCTCTCACGGATGATATTCGTTTTTATTAGCCCATAAAATCCGCGGTGCACAGAGGCACGGGAGAAGGTGGTTTGCGACGCGTAACCGCTATAAAACTCGAGTCTACTCGTGCCACTCACGTTCGACTTTTACGCGCAGTAAGACTCTATTTAGTGGCAGATCATAAGCAGCATTGACTTAAATCCAAAATTAAATGCCCTTTAAATTTTCATGGTGACTGAATCGCTAACTTTAGGTTGATAAACAACTTCAACTCCTCCATCGCGAGTGCAAAGTTTATTACAGATGGGAGTATTTCTTCTTCCTTTACCCGGAAGTAGTCACCTGATTTTACGTAAACGATCACCTGGAATATTCACCTGGATTAAAATCACTGTTATTAACGACATGGTGTATATCATTTTCTGATTGTGTTTTCTGATTTATTATTAATATGTGAAAAATTAAATATATATATAATAAATATAGATTTAATCACAATTTTCTGATAAAAATAAGCAGAAATTAAATAAATATTAAATGAAATAAGCCCGTTAAGTAGCTTATGAGTAGCATAGTACTGCTAAAAAATAAAGGTTCTATTTAATATTAACGTTTTCTTATTGCGTTTTCAATAAAATTACATATTTAAAGATTTGTAAAAAATAGTTATTAAAACGAATCTGTTAAACAATATCCACGCAAAACGATATTTTAATTTATAATTTTATCGCTGTTGAAGTATAAAAATATCCCAGATAACTCCTGGATTTAGAATTATTATATTATTTATTGCTTACAAGAAAGACAAAATGTTTTACGCATCAAGTATATCCTAATATTTTTATTAATACTTTAAATTTAGAAGTTACACAAATATGACAAATGTATCAGTAACATTCACGTTATTACAGATTTTTGATGAATTTTTCGATGAAATGTAAAACATAAATCTCATGCTTGTGCTTATCTATGACATCATTTGATTCTCGGATTAGTGTATTGTAAATTGTAGAAATTGTTATGTAAAATAATACTGTAAATATAAAATAGTTGCATAGATATTTCTCCCAATCACTCTGATTGTGGGATGTGTAATACCTACCAATGCAATACCGCAAGCAATCGTCGTAATTGGTGATGATCTGCTCGGGATGTCGTATTGCCGTGTCACCTGCTTCACGAATCTCCACGAATTTGCGCGTGTAAACGAAGTAATCGCCTCGGCTCTCGCGGTGTTATATTGTTATAATTGCATGTGTGTGTATATATATGTGTTCGTACCAGAGGCCAAACGTAATTTCGATCGATACATAATGTGTATTCAGTAATTTCAGGTTTGCCCGGTAATGGCCTTATTCCCTTGGGTCATGCAATCCTCCAGTCCAGCCTCCAATGTGGCGATATAATATTGCATTAGAATTGAATCTAACCATGATCATCCTTTTCGCTGTTTCAAACACTGATTGCGTACCGAAGTTAGGTGGTTTCAAATCGAATCGTATTATTTAATAAACTCGGAAAATATAATAAACAATAAATAATTTCTATTTCAATGGTAATTATATTGTTAGACACATTTAAAAAATTTATATCATTTTACAATCTCTTTAAATCTCTTTAATAATTATTTTACATTAAAAATCTTTTTACGATAATAAACTAGATTCTTGAGAAAGATATATAGGTACAGATTAGATAATTTTGTTATTTTATCACTGATAGTTTTATTATTTTATCGCTGCCATTATTAATATCTTACTTCCTAGCGCGAACGGAATTCAAATTTTATTTAAGTTCTCATGGTGAATTTAAAATTCAC